GAATTACTTTTTTAAAAACCTAAAACAGAAAAGAAAGAAAGGTTCTACATTTTCTTTTTGTGTAGACTAGTACACATATGGCCAGGGTGCAGAGCTGCTCTAGACCTCCAATTCAAATCACTGGAACTAAAATTTTCATATACAGTAAGTGGAATATCAGAATTCCTAGAGTATATCAGATTCCATAATAAATCACTCGGTCTGCTAAAATTAGCTTAGTCACACAGTACATACTGTGGCTATCTTATTCCTATGTTAAACACTTAGGAACACTGTACATGAACTCTGGTAGATGGAGCGTAGCAAGATGAGGGATTATCAACTATAAAACAAAATACTTCCTTCTATTTGATTTATAGAGAAAAATCAAGTCCTAATCAAGGAACAGCTTTATATATATATATATATATTTTTTTCTTTTAAAAAAATAGCAAAAATTGCACCAATCTATATAAATGATGGGAGAATTATAGGTTTGGGGAATATTGCTTTTGTTCATTTATCTGACAGTTAATGAGACATGGAATACAGCTAGAAAAGACACCTATTTAGTCCTCCACTTACTGAATCAGAAGAGTCGATAGAACTTTATCAGTCTTCAAAATGATGAATAATTCCTTTTTAGGGAAAAAAAAAAAAGAAATGGAGAAGAGCTGGGTAACCAGTTAAATATGAAGAATAAAAAACTGCCAGAAATTTTCTTCACACTTAATTGGTCACCAAGACCTATGAATTTTAAAGTATCTCATGCTTTGTTCCCTCTTTCTCACCTTTGATGTCATTAAGTCTTTATCTTTAAACCAGATGTGCGTTTTTTTGGTGGCGTCCTGGGGTTTGAACTCAGGGTCTATACCTTGAGCCACTCCATCAGCCCTTTTTTGTAATGGGGTTTTTTCAAGATAGGGTCTTGCAAAACTATTGATGGGCTGGCTTTGAACCACCATCTCCTGACCTCGGCCTCCTGAATAGCTGGGATTACAGACGGGAGCCACTGGTGCTGGCCAGACGTGTTTTTAAAAAGAGCCTCTCAATGGATTTTTGTTCCCAATGTCCCCTCCTCTTCCAATTAACTTTTTCATATATATATTATCTTGCTTAAAATAATATGATCATATCATTATTATAAAAAGGAGACATATGGCTCAATCTGATAGCATTTGATGTATTTACAGGTGTTAACTAGAATTACAGTCCATGATGTCTATCTTACTTTGTAAACCCTTCACAGTTTCCTCTTCAAACAGCTTAGATGAATTTACAACTTTGGCTATAATTAACTGGAGTTCCAGGAATCAGTCAACAAGTATTCCTTAACTGATGTAGACTATGCTAGATTTATAAGACTGTCCCAATCCTCACAGATCTTAAAGTCTAGTTGGGCACTGTAAGACTAACAAGCTCCAGAGCTTCTTTGTTCAGTACTTAATTGCTCTGTGCTCACTGGAATTCAAAGACAGGCAACAGTGAAAAATTAAGACAGACTTCAGCAAGGTACTGGAATTTGAGCTAAAGTTCAACAGATACAGAGACAACTGGCCAGAGTGGGAATGCAAGGACAGACATGAAAAAAACCACAGGGGAGGGAACTGCAGTACTACATAGGGGAACTGTAAAGAGACCAGACTAGGATGGAGAACAGTGAGATTCAATCTTGCTTAGGGAAGTGGAGTCCGTTACAGAATGTCTTGGAAGCCAGGCAGAGGTGTTAAGTATGACTTTGTATGTGCCAATAAATAAAAAGAGAAGAGATTAATAAGAAGACTATTTGGGCATCTGTGTTTGATCCCATGAAAGACAGAAAGAGATACACAAAATGAAATGATAGGATTTAAAGACAGATAGCAGTTAAGAGAGGAGAAATCATTAAAGAAGAATGTGAGGTTCTGGCCTGGGAAACTGCAAGAAGAGACATCACTTCACAATTGCCCAGTTGGGCAATAAAAAAGGTTTAGGGAAGGGGACAGAGTGGTTTTGGACATGCTAGATTATTACATAACCAAGTACAGTTATCCTAAGGCTGTTCTGTAACACAGCATCAAGAGGAAGCCAAGATCTGGGGTGAGACTACATAGTGATCTATCAATGCCTTATAGCTACTTGGTGCTTTAACACTATGAAGCATATACTTTAAGCCTCAAAACTGAATTTTGTAGAAGAGCAGAATACCTTTGCTTACAAATAATGAAATGCACACTCAGAATTGATTCAACGTGCCCAAAGTCAGTTTGTTAGCAGAAAAGCCAGCAAAAACTTGGCTCTTCACCCTTGTCAATACACTGTACTCAAAAATTTCAAAAAAGAGGTAAAGCCTTGTTTCAAAAGGAGTCCTGAACATGAAGACAACAGCTAAGGCCTTGAGGATGTATGATTCTTTGAGAGTAGAACAGATTCCTACCAGATACCCACAATTTATTAAAATGTAAAAGAAGACAGCCTAGTCAGAAACAGCAAGCTGACAGGAATACTAAAGCAGCTAGGGGGGAAAAATCTAAACCAGAAAAGTGCAGAGTCAGGAAAGCCAAAAATGGAGTGAGCACTCAGTGATCTTAAATGCCAAAGTTAGAAGAAGAGGAGGAATTGGCAGGGAGGCCACACGTTAGATAGCTGAACTGTTTTAAAAAAATTTAACTTTTACAATATTTTAAAAAATTTAAAAATGCCTTCAAAATTTTTACCAATGTTCACTTGGTTCACTAATAAGGGGGATTGGTTTTGTTTTTCATGTATTAAACTTCTATTTCACAAAGTTTTATTCACATAAAATAAGTGTGAATGGTTTTTGTTAGCATTGAAAACCACAAAGCCTAAGAAAATACAGCACCTGTTAATTTGTGTTATAGGAATATAATTTGATCTTTTATTTTGTTTTATTTGTAGTGCTAGGGATTGTACACAGGGTCTTGCACATGCTAGGCAAGCTGACCCCAGCCTAATTTGATGTTTTAAATCACATCTCAAATACATTTTGACATAACCTGATCAGTGATTTCACTTTATATTTGGCAAGAAAATACTTTGAGCTTTTACTTATTTGAGAAGCTTTTGATGAAACATAAACTAAAACTTACCATACTTTTTGCTGAACTCTTTTGGGATTTGAACTCAGGGCCTTTACCTTGAGCCACTCCACCAGCCCAGTTTTTTGTGATAGGGTTTTTCGAGATAGGTTCTCTAAAACTATTTGCCCAAGCTGGCTTTGTCTTAGGTGGGAGTTAGCAGGCAAAGAAAAAGTGAACTATATTTTATCCTTGTTTTAACATGACAGATATAAAATATTTCTAACTACAACCAGACTTTATAGTGATACTTGTGGAACGCAGCACTGTCTTTGCACAAATCAAGTTTTAAAAAGATCCTAGCAACTTTTCTCTAACATAAAGGTTTTTTTTTTTTTTTATGCTTGAAATTGAACCCAGGGACTCACTCATACTAAGCATACCCAATCACCCTAGTGCCTAATTTTAAGTTTTTAACAGACCATCGATGAGTTAAAAAATTCTAAGACACAAACGAGCTAATTAAACAATTTGCAACTAACCTTGTTCAAGTCTGAACAGGGTCTTTTCCAGCTTGTCCATTTCGTTCAGAAGTAAAATTCGAATCTGTTTACTGTGTCCCATTTTGGCTTCTGCAAGATTTGAACTCCTTCAGAAGAATTAAAAGAACTCCAGAGTCGAACGCATTACCCCTAGGAAATAAAAGAGGAATTAGGAAAAAGGAAATAACCAGTACCTTCATCTCTCCAGAGCTGACACCGCACTTACATGTTCTAGCTATACGTTTAACCCTAGCAGAGCAAGAAGAAAGAAAGCCTCTTAGAAATAAAATCCGACAAGGGAAGTTAATAGTTGTTTCCTCCCTTCGAGCCCAACGAGAAAGGCAGAAGCAACAATACTGCGGATCCTGACACTTTGCACAAAACAAGGTAAAACATTCTTAAGAGAAAAGCAATGCCTTTGGCGAAGCCCGGGGCTCGGGGTGGGAAAAAGTCCAGATCCCAAGCCAAATGGCTCGGAAGGCTCCAAATGGCACTCGTGCTTGCAGATTAGTCTGCGCGGAGATAACAGGTGGGAGACGTCCCCGTTCCCAAATTCGGATCGGAAGCCACCAATGGGGAGATGACAAGAGGGGAGCAGTTGTCGCCCGGGAATAGCTGCGGCCGACAGGGGATGTACAGAGCGAGCTATAGATGGAAAGAGGCAGGTCCCCGCGGGGCCAGGCGCATTGCTAGCACTTACGGCGAGCAAGCTGGACGTGCCACGTCTGGGACACTGCAGGGCCGCGCGGCGTCGGCGCTCCAGCGGGGACAGAGAGCAAAAGGGGAAGGCCAGGCCGGCTGCCCGGGCGGGGGACCCGAGCCACCGCCCGCGGAGCGCAGGGCGCCCTGAAGGGCAAAGGGAGGGGCTGCGGCTGGGGACTCGCGAGGCCGTGTGGGCGTGGCAGGCAGCGCGCGTCCCCGAGAGTCCGTCCAGCCAGGTCCCCAAGAAGACTGACCCCGCCGGGCCGCGCGCGCACTTGCTCAGGTGGGCGGGCCGCTCCTCTCGCCCACTTCCTGGAGCCTCCGCTCTCGCGAGACTACCGCGAGCCCGTGTCGCTGGTCTCGCGAGAGACCCGGGCGCTGTGGAAGTTGGCTGTCGCGGGCACCAGGGTAGAAGCCTGTAAGATTTTATGACCAAGGGAGAAGGAAAACCCACTTTTCTGGGACTTTTCCAGGACACCTGATCGTCTTGAGAAAATGGACAGAAGGTTGGAGTTAAGTTAGCAGGGTGGGGAAGAATTTCGCTTATTGTGGAATTACAGTACTGTAGGTCCAAGAAGGATGATGAGATAGACGATAGATAATAGATAGATGATTGATAATAGATGATAGATAGATAGATAGATAGATAGATAGAAGGACGCTGGAATAGCCAGGCGCGGTGGTTTACGTTTGTAATTCCAGCTACTGTGGAGGTAAGAGATGGGGAGGATCGCAGTCCAAGGCCACCCCCGCTCGCAAAAAGTCACACCCCATTTTAATCAACAAGTCGGATTTGCTTATATCTGCCTGTAATCACTGCTACACAGGAAGCATAAGTAGGAGGGTGGGGGTCTAGGTCGCCCTGGGCAAAAGCCCTCAAACCCTTTCAAAAAAAATAATCTAAAAACAAGACGAAAGGGCTGGGGGCGTGGCTTAAGGGGCTGAGCACCTGCCTAACAAGTGCAAGCCCCACCCCCACGCCCCGCATTTCAAATCCCAGTACTGCCAAAAACAAAGCGAAAGAACAAAAGCCGAAATACATGCTTGTCTCAGGTTTTTGAGAATGGCTAGCTGCAAACGTGAGTTGGAGAACGCAGAGTTTATAAGTGTGCTGATTGCCAGGCACATTGGTGCTGGGAATGCAGTCACTGCACATGTGGAACTCCTGCATTTTACTTATGAGTGGCAGGTAAACAAATAAGCAAACTATATAGGATAATCGCCTGTAGGCAATAAAGCAGGGAAGGAGGACATGTGGAAGTCAGGAGAGAGGTTTTTAATTCTAAATACAGTCATCAGGAAAGTGACGGAAACAGGGTACAGGGTTGCATGCAGAGGTATGGGAAGTGCAAAGGCCCTGAGGCCTGGCAGGCCTGGTGGATTGAAGAAGGCCACTGTTACAGAGTGAAGAGAAAGGGTGGTGGGTCAGATCTCCTAAGGTTTGGTAGACTATCACCAGGACTTGGGCTTTTCCTCTGGGGAAAAGCAGTTAGAGGATTTTAAACTGAGGAGTGACCTTTTAAAAGGATCACTCTGCAACTTCATGGGGAATAGCTGAGTAAACTGCAGGGTAAAGCAAGAAAGGGACCAGTTAGGAAGTGTTTCAGTTAGGAAGACAAGGTGTTGTGTTTGCTGTGGGCTTGAGCACGTGCTGAAGAAAATGTATAGCAGTGGAAGTGGTGATAAGTTGTTAAATTCGGGATCTATTTGAAGTTAGAGCCTGTAGGATTTGCTCCTGAGAGAAAGGAGTCAAGGGTGATTCCAAGATCTTAATCCCGAACAACATAACTAGCACAAGGTCTTGAGTTCAAACCCCAGTGCTGCAAAAAAAAAGAAAAAAAGCAATGTATGAAATACTGAGTGCCAGGACTGGGGTGTGGCTCAAATGTTCAAATGGTAGATCGGTTGCCTATTAAGTGTGAGGCCCTGAATGCAATCTAGTACCACAAAAAGAAAGAAAGAAAAGAAAGATTGAGTGCCATATAGCTAAACGAAGATTTTCAAGTAGTCATCAAAAAACAGGTGAAATTAATTTTACTAATATACTTTAACTCAATATATCTCAGACATTATTTTTTCTATCATTTTTACATTTACTTACATGTGTATACATTATTTATGCCACCCCCCCAACATTATTTCAACATGTAATCAGTATTAAAAGTTACTGGTTGGACTGGAGGTGTGGCTCAAGCGGTAGAGCACCTGCTTGCTTTACTAGTGCAAAACCCTGAGTTCTAACTCCAGTCCCACAAAAAATAGTTATTGGTGAGCTGTTTTACATATCTTTCCCATCTTAAGTCCTTGCAATCTGGTGTGTACTTTGCAATTGCCATGCCTCAATTCCTATAGCTACATTTCACGTTAGTACTCTTCCATATGGAAGGGCAGAAATTGCCATTTATTGAGAAGAAAAAGAGAACGGAGTAGGATTGGAGGGTAAAATTGCAGACAGTAATTGGAAATGACTGTTAAACATCCTACTGGAGATACCGAGTTGACATTTGTATCTCTGATTTTATTGGAGGCTTGTAAAATCAATTAGTTGTAACCAGAAAATTTTAAAATAAAATGAAAAAGATATGAATACAGTCAATCCGGTAAAAGTATTATTTCACAAAACCTCTGTTGCTGTTCCTTATGTTTTGGTGTACAGAGTCATGATTCTCCTGGGGGTGTGGGGGGGGTGTGGGGGTGGGGTGTCACAGTTAAAAACAAGATTGAAAGTGCCTGTTCTGGAATGTGTGCTGTGTGAAACTGAAATTCATGATTTTGAAACAGAGCCTGGATTTGAGTCCCAGCTCTGCCACCAACTTACCTGTGAAAATTTAAAAGGTACTCAGGCTCTTTCTGCTTTGGCTTTTCCAAATGAAAATGGTAAGAAAAAGTACCTGCTGTTACTTAAATGACGGCTTAGGACTGTGCCCAATACATACTAAGTACTGGTGTAAGTCCATATGGTTAGAGTGGGCTCTCACCCGGTTACATTTGTGCGTGTCTTCGGGCACTCCCTCCCCCGAACCCGTTCCATTTCGGATCTTCTGGCCTCAACACACTGCCCTCCTGCTGACTCCCAAATTAGCCTTTCCAGCTGGCCTGCGCTCACATTACTGCCAGGGTTTCACCTAGCTAAGAGCTAAAACAGAACACGCATTCCTGTAGTAGCATTTATTCTTGCACCAGTGTTTGAATTTGATAAGATTTGTCAGTCCAACCCATGCTAACTTTGGAGCTTTCATGTGAAATACAGTGAAGCATGGTGAGAAATGGAACCATGATTTATCAGGATGGCCTCTAAGAACAACTTTGAAAAGAAAAGACATATGAGTTGCAATTTGTAAAGTTCTTGGAATGCTGATAAATTTGCGGTGGAGAGCTCCAGTGTTGCCACTTGCCTGGCCCCATGGCGGTGAGCATCTGTCATGTGCCTGACAGTGATCTATGTATAGCCAACAGTCTCCTGCTGTAGCTGGGGAGCATCTCACATCTTCTTGGCTCCTTGGCAGTGAGTCTGCTGTTTCTAAAATGCTGATGTGGATGCATTTGAGTGAGAGAAGGGCTGAGGTCAGAGAGGCTTTCTCCAGGCTTTGCATATGTGGGTATCTTCTACAAAAGGAGAGTACTTATTTGGGGTATCACTTGTGTTTGGGGCCTCGTCCTGGGATCACCTGGATCTGAAATGGATGGGCTACCTTACTCAGTTTTTATACTCTTCAGTATTTCCTGTTTGTTTTGAGACAGTCTTGCTGTGCAGCCCAAGGCTGGCTTTGAACTCTGGATCCTCCCTAGTGCTGGTATTGCAGGTGTGTACCACCATGCCCAGCTTTACTCTTTTGTGTGTTCTATGTACTTTATTTTATAGTGACATATAGTAACATAATGTCATAATTTTGTTTTTACAAAACTTTGAATCATGTTCTCAAAATCCTTTCTAAATGGAACAATTGGTTCTGCTCGTTTGCAATATCTAGATGTAGACAAGGAAGAGGAAAAGGGAAGACAGGAAAAAGAAATAACAAAGTCAGAGAACTCAGAGGACCTGAATGTAATAGGAAGAGGTGTGGAAAAAACAGACAAATTTTTCAAAAATGAGATGGCTCAGTTTTACAAAATGAATTCTGGAGACTGGATTCATTTTAATCTTTCTAAATCACAGTTCAGAAATTCACCCATAAAATGGGGAAAACACCACCTTAAGTCAGGTGTGGTGTGAAGGGTGAGAGTGAAAATTAGATGAAATAAAGCATATGAAGTAGTTTTTTTTTTTCTATAGAAATCTAACTTTTATTCTTTTGAGTAAATTCCCAGAAGTGATGGAAGTTCTATTTTTTTTATTCATATGTGCATACAACGTTTGGGTCATTGCTCCCCCCTTCCCCCAACCCCTCCCTAACCCTCCCCGCCCCTCCCTTTCACCCCATCCCTTCTCTACCCGGCAGAACCTATTTTGCCCTTATCTCTAATTTTGTTGAAGAGACCAAAGGACCAAGGGTTTTTGCTAGTTGAGATAAGGTTAGCTATACAGGGAGTTGACTCACATTAATTTCCTGTGCATGTGTGTTATCTTCTAGGTTAATTCTTCTTGAACTAACTTTTTCTCTAGTTCCTGGTCCCCTTCTCCTATTGACCTCAGTTGCTTTAAAGTATCTGCTTTAGTTTCTCTGCATTGAGGGCAACAAATGCTATCAGTTTTTTGGGTGTCTTACCTATCCTCATATCTCCCTTGTGGGCTCTCGCTTTATCATGTGATCAAAGTCCAATCCCCTTGTTGTGTTTGCCCTTGATCTAATGTCCACATATGAGGGAGAACATATGATTTTTGGTCTTTTGGGCCAGGCTAACCTCACTCAGAATGATGTTCTCCAATTCCATCCATTTACCAGCGAATGATAACATTTCATTCTTCTTCACGGCTGCATAAAATTCCATTGTGTATAGATACCACATTTTCTTAATCCATTCGTCAGTGGTGGGGCATCTTGGCTGTTTCCATAACTTGGCTATTGTGAATAGTGCCGCAATAAACATGGGTGTGCAGGTGCCTCTGGAGTAACCTGTGTCACAGTCTTTTGGGTATATCCCCAAGAGTGGTATTGCTGGATCAAATGGTAGATCAATGTTTAGCTTTTTAAGTAGCCTCCAAATTTTTTTCCAGAGTGGTTGTACTAGTTTACATTCCCACCACAGTGTAAGAGGGTTCCTTTTTCCCGCATCCTCGCCAACACCTGTTGTTGGTGGTATTGCTAATGACGGCTATTCTAACAGGGGTGAGGTGGAATCTTAGTGTGGTTTTAATTTGCATTTCCTTTATTGCTAGAGATGGTGAGCATTTTTTCATGTTTTTTTTGGCCATTTGAATTTCTTCTTTTGAGAAAGTTCTGTTTAGTTCACTTGCCCATTTCTTTATTGGTTCATTAATTTTGGGAGAATTTAGTTTTTAGTTCCCTATATATTCTGGTTATCAGTCCTTTGTCTGATGTATAGTTGGCAAATATTTTCTCCCACTCTGTGGGTGTTCTGTTCAGTTTAGAGACCATTTCTTTTGTTGAGCAGAAGCTTTTTAGTTTTACGAAGTCCCATTTATCTATGCTATCTCTTAGTTGCTGAGCTGCTGGGGTTTCATTGAGAAAGTTCTTACCTATACCTATTAATTCCAGAGTATTTCCTACTCTTTCCTGTACCAACTTTAGAGTTTGTGGTCTGATATTAAGATCCTTGATCCATTTTGAGTTAATATTGGTATAGGGTGATATACATGGATCTAGTTTCAGTTTTTTGCAGACTGCTAACCAGTTTTCCCAGCACTTTTTGTTGAAGAGGCTGTCTTTTCTCCATCGTATATTTTTAGCTCCTTTGTCAAAGACAAGTTGGTTATAGTTGTGTGGCTTCATATCTGCGTCCTCTATTCTGTCCCACTGGTCTTCATGTCTGTTTTTGTGCCAGTACCATGCTGTTTTTATTGTTATTGCTTTGTAATATAGTTTGAAGTCAGGTATTGTGATACCTCCTGCATTGTTCTTTTGACTGAGTATTGCCTTGGCTATTCGTGGCCTCTTGTGTTTCCATATAAATTTAACAGTAGATTTTTCAATCTCTTTAATGAATGTCATTGGAATTTTGATGGGAATTGCATTAAACATGTAGATTACTTTGGGAGTATAGACATTTTTACTATGTTGATTCTACCAATCCATGAGCATGGGAGATCTCTCCACTTTCTATAGTCTTCCTCAATCTCTTTCTTCAGAAGTTATAGTTTTCCTTGTAGAGGTTTCACATCTTTTGTTAGGTTTACACCTAGGTATTTGATTTTTTTGAGGCTATTGTAAATGGAATTGTTTTCAATATTCTTTCTCAGTTTGTTCATTATTAGTGTATAGAAATGCTAATGATTTTTTCTATGTTGATTTTATATCCTGCTACCTTGCTATAGCTATTGATGTGTAGGAGCTTTTAAGTAGAGTTTTGGGTCTTTAAGTATAGGATCATGTCGTCTGCAAATAGGGATATTTTGACAGTTTCTTTACCTATTTGTATTCCTTTTATTCCTTCTTCTTGCCTAATTGCTCTGGCTAGGAATTCCAGTACTATGTTGAATAGGAGTGGAGATAGTGGGCATTCCTTGTCTAGTTCCTGATTTAGAGGGAATGGTTTCAGTTTTTCTCCGTTAAGTATAACACTGGCTGTAGGTTTGTCATATATAGCTTTTATGATGTTTTGGTATTTTCCTTCTATTCCTAGTTTTCTTAGAGCTTTTATCATGAAATGGTGTTGAATCTTATCAAAGGCTTTTTCCTGCATCTTTGAGATGATCAAGTGGTTTTTGTCTTTGCTTCTGTTAATGTGGTTTATTACGTTTATTGATTTTCGTATGTTGAACCACCCCTGTATCCCTGGGATGAGGCCTACTTGGTTGTGGTGAATGATCTTTTTGATGTGTTGTTGAATTTGGTTATTTGGTTATTTGGTTATTTTATTGAGGATTTTTGCATCAATGTTCATTAAGGAGATTGGCCTATAGT